AATTCAACGTCCACAACTCCTTCAATAATAAGCAATTCCTCTTTGCCACTCAAAGCCATTTCACTAAAAGCCTTCTTGCTAATTACAAGGTCAGTTTGAGAGCTCTCATTGCCATCCGTCACAACAATCTTGGTGCCTTCTTTGTTGCATAGTGCCTCATTTTTACACCTTACCTGCACAAACCCGACACTTTCACGTCATGACGATTCAAATCTAGGAAATGTTAAGAATAACGACGCTCCATAACAGTATGATATTGTCCACTTTGAGCAGAAGCTATCCCAACTCTCCCAAAAGGCCTCGTGTCAATAGAGATGTATTCCTTACTTATAAATTCATGATCATTCCCTATATTAGCCACGCAGGACCCTCCTAACAATTGAGACAAAGGGAAGGGATTGGTGAGAAGTTTACTTGAAAGCAGGCGCCACAGCCAGCGCCGTGGCCGTAAAGAGTAGCCGTGATAGCCGAGAAGTGGCCATTTGAGAGCTCCGAGGTAAGATTGCCATAGCCACAAGCGCCTCTAACTACAAGAAATGAAACAAACCCAATTGGTTAAATGTGAAAATTTGATCTGGGTCGGCCTTAGATCGGACTTTAATAGCGGAAAAGTCCAAGAATTCAAAGGGGGATTGGAATTTTACGTTCACCGTCGGACTCGACCTGGTAGAAGGCGGCTTTGGCCTGATGAAGACAACGATCACAGGCAGCGGCAGAGGAGACAATGGTGAGGAAGAGAAGAGGGAGGAAGAAGGGCATTTTTGTGATGGGGAAGGAAGAGGGAGGGAGAGGTTTATATAGGTGATGAATGGTCGTTGATGGAAGACAGGTGTCATTTACCAAAAGGGTAAAGGAAAGATTTTAAGGCATTTTTTTGTTGATTTTACTTTTTCATCGGATCTATGATGACCAAGTTTAAACATCATGGTCAACATTTCCCTTTATTTTGGTCGGATGTTCTTTTTTTTTATCCCATAATACTTTTTTTTTGTTTATTTTTTATTTTAAAAATAGTTATTTTAAAATTTTTTAACCATAAAAAAAATCATAATAAATCAATATATTTCCTAATATTCAAGTGTATATATATATATATAAAATATGTGTTAAGGGACGTGGTGGAGAATTGGATGGGAAGGAGAATATAATCAATCTCATCTTCGGTGTGTTAAGGGACGTGGTGGAGAATTTGATGGGGACGGGAATATAATCTCATCTTCGGCCCCATTTATGTAACGGGAAAAAAATGTTCTCCACTCTTCCCTCGTCCTGTAAAATGGACATGTCTAGATAAATTCATATACTAACGAAAAATTCTCTATAGAGGTGATGAAGTGAAAAGGTGGCTAACGTGGTCGCTTGACAAGTGAAGTCGAGGTGATGAAGTGAAGCCGCTTCGACGATTTTTCGTGTGTTGGCAATGCAAGGTGTAATACAGTTTGATCTCCATAAAAGACAATCGATGACACTCTTTGGGTGAGATGACTTGAATGTGAAGGAACAAAAAGGTAGAATCAAACGCGGTAAGAGAAAGAGGGGAATTTTGAGAGTTGAAATGAGTTGTGTGTACCGCACCAACAGCTGTGTGCCATTCTTTTGCTTCGACTTTGCTGATTTGGGACTTTTCTAAAACCCTTTTCTTTTTCAAAGCGATCTTATTCTAGGTGTGGGATGAAATCCGACCATCTCGAGACAAAGCATAGAGGTCTCGTTAGCTTGTCGTACCTGAATGGTTCTATAACAGCTCAAGTCCACGGCTAGTAGATAGGTATTGTCGTCAATCTCACGATCATGCTTGTGCACCCTCTTGAGGCCCAGTGTCACGATCATGCTTGTCTAAGGCATGTTGCCCATGGCCGCATGCATGCCTTGGACAAACATGCCGAAACCTTTGCCTTGTACTCTTTTATTGCTTTCTGTAGACATAAAATGTCAACTTCTCCCTATTGCTTTCTCTCTCTCTCTTTTTCCAAAACCTTTCTCCCCTACTTTCTAAGATCTTCTCTTGAAATCGAGACCCGAGCTTTGTATTCATGTTGCCTAGAAACCAAATCCGCTGTCTAGAGTGGGTGCCGCACAATCGCCAAATCCGCTGCTTAGAAACCGCGATTGTGACTCCCAGTATCCTCGCTGACACTAGTACACTGTCTAGTGTCTGGCTCCGATACAATTTGTACTAGCTTTGCTAGTGGATATTGTTTAGCCACACGATTTTAAAACGTGTCTACTAGGGAAAGGCTTCCGTTCTGTTCCCCTCCCCGAACGATGCAGGACCTCACAAGTATGTTATATATATTTAAACTCATTGAGCTATATTCAAGTTTAACGACATTATTTTATACCATTAGTAAATTTTAACAATTTAACAAATTTGAGAAGGAGATTAATATGATTTGATTGGCTTTATTTAATGATTAACTACAAAATCTTACCATAAAAGGTAGAATCAAATTGATTTTTTTTCACCCTAGTAGGGTTATTTAGAAATTTGAAGATTGTATCTATAAATACTATAAACTAAGCCCAATGCTGATGGGCACACTGATCATTTGAACAACTCTCTTTAGCCAGGTCGTTGATTTGAACTCCAGTGTCGTAAATTTGCCCATGTCTCCAATCAATGGGAAGCACAGACTTTGTCTCGATCCACTTCTTATCAAACCCAGAAGTCACCATAAACCGCAAGTGCAATGGTCCATCCGGTACGTGATGTTTCGAGTTCCAAACAGCTCCATAGTTGCGAGCCATCGGAGCCCAATTCGATTCACCCACCTAAATCATAACACATTTTCAAACTCCACGATAAATAAAACCCATATCGTGTTCGTTGTAAGATTTTGTTTAGGCGTCACCTTAGCGATCTCTATGCTTGCTATTTCGGTTTGGCCACCTTGGTAAAGCAATTTGATGGCTAAATAAGTGGGATATTTGCTCATCTCTTCCACTCTAACCATCAAGTTCTTGTCTTTGTGCTCACAAGGAACCCTACAAAAACAAAAAAAACCACTAAAATTATGAGCCTCAAACGATTGAACATGAAAAAGTAGGTCAATTATGAGCAAACCTTTTGAATTCAACGTCCACAACTCCTTCAATAATAAGCAATTCCCCTTTGCCACTCAAAGCCATTTCACTAAAAGCCTTCTTGCTAATTACAAGGCCTGTTTGAGAGCTCTCATTGCCATCCGTTACAACAATCTGGGTGCCTTCTTTGTTGCACATTGCCTCGTTTTTACACCTTACCTGCACAAATCCGACATTTTCAGGTCAGAAAAGGTTGGGAATAACGACTCTCTACAATAGTATGATATTGTCTAGTTTGTCTAGTTTAAGCATACGCTCTCATGAATTTAGGTCTTATACCAATGAAAATGTATTCATTTAACCATTAACGAAAGAGAAGATAAGGTCATTCCATTTCGACAAAAGACCCACACCAAGTTCTATAGTTTTGGGTCTGCTATCCCGATCATGATTTTCCTACCCCAGAGGGAAAAGTTCTTTCTTTTTCGGCCAGTTGTGGGCGAGGAGGGATTCAAACTCTCGACACCGTGGTTCATAGCCACGTGCTCTAATCGTCTGAACTACAGGCCCCACCCCATCTCCACTAGATCTGTTCTCAGGGTACCCTAAAAAAAAAAAAGAATCTTTCCTCTCCCCACCATTTGCCATTTTCGGTTAAGAAGATGAGTCGAAAAGAGGATGCTTCACTTCTTGGATCTGTTCCCGGGGTACCCTAAAAAAAAAATGAATCTTTCCTCTCCCCACCAATTGCCATTTCGGGTTAAGAATATGAGTTGAAAAGAGGATTCTTCACTTCTTTCTCTTATTCAAAAGAGTGCATGAGACTGCATAGACTTTCGGATCTTGCATGGTTCCTAAGCTAAGTGATAAAAGAAAGAACTCAATCTTCTTTCCTTTTTTTTTTTTTATTACCTCCCTCACATATGTATTAAGACCGAATCCAATTCGATTTCTAAAAAGAAAACTCATGATCATTCCGTAAATTAGACAAGTGGAACTCCCTCCCAGACAAAGTGAGGGATTGTTGAGAAGTTTACACGAAAGCAGGTGCCACAACCAGCACCGTGGCCGTAAAGAGTAGCTGTGATAGCCGAGAAGTAGCCATTTGAGAGCCCCAAGGTGAGATTGCCATAGCCACAGGCGCCTCTAACTGCAAGAAATGAAACAAACCCAGTTATTTAAATGTGAAAACTTGATCTGGGTCGGCCTTGAATCGGACTTTAATAGCGGAAAAGTCGAAGAATTTAAAGGGGGATTGGAGTTTTACGTTCACCGTCGGACTCGACCTGGTAGAAGGCGGCTTTGGCGTGATGAAGACAACGATCACAGGCAGCGGCGGAGGAGGCAAGGGAAAGGAAGAGTAGAGGGAGGAGGAAAGCCATTGTTGTGAGGATTTGAAGTGAAGAAGGAAGAGGAGAGAGGTTTATATAGGTGGTGAATGGACGTTGGTGGCAAACACGTGGCATTTACCAATGGGGAAAGGGAAGATTTTAAGGCATTTCTTTAGATTGGTTGACTAACTAATTTTTTTCAATATAGTATATATATATATATATATATAATATATATACATATAATATGTGTTTAAAATATATTTATATTAAGCAGAGTGAAGATAGAGCAGGTGGGTGAATTGGGCAGAGACGGGAAATATAGTTTAATCCTTGGCCCCAATTATTTAACCGTAAAAAATTGTTTTCACTCTCTCTTCTCATCGAGTGTAACAACCCATGCTCAGGATTCGTTCTCATCTAAACGTGGTCTTACCTCTCTTTTACTCAAGTATCACATACCACTAACTTCCGCTTTAGGTCGTTTCCAAACCACATCTTATTGGGAGATGTATCGCTCTTATACCATTTATAATGATGTAACGACTCATCAAGGTGTCGAATCTAAATCTAAATCATGATTATGGGTCGTTACAAAGGTGTCACTACAATAAAGGTTCAATATTTTGAAATTTAAGGATCAAATAGAAACTAAACCGTAAGTTCCATGATTGCATTATCATTTATTTGATGTCAACAACGACAAAAGCGTTTTTTCAACCAAATGGTCATCGTATGGTCTTTATCACCAATGCCCTTCATCACATTTTCTACAGCTCTCTTGTCCTTTGGCAATGGCATCCATCTGAACTCCAAGGTCGTAGATCATCCCCGGCTTCCAGTCCGCCGGAACCACCCGCTCCGCTGTCACCCACATCCCGTCGAACCCTGAAATCACTCTTAGTTGAAACACCACCGCCGCCTCCGGTGCCGTGTCTATTTCCCACACCGCCGTCCCATGCCTTCTGCTCATGAAGAACGTACTTCCCCAATCCACCTTTTATGCCAATAATATTCATCAACTTAGTTTATTTTCGCTCTTACTTTTTTATCAAAAGATCAGAAATTTGAATCCCGAACTTACCGGACGCAGGTGAACCAGTAGAATATCAGTCTGCCCACCTTGATATAGGAACTTAACAGCCATGTGATGGGGCTTTTGGCTTGACTCTTCAATTCTTACTGACAGATTTTGTTTTTTGTATTCACATGGTATCCTGCAAAACCATGCACAACCCATAAATATAAACCCTTATTTTAAAATTACGTTCTTTTCTAGTTTCCCTCAAAAAAATTTAAAAACACCTAGAGAACGAATTCCACACCCTTATAAAGAATGTTTCGTTCTCCTCCTCATTCGATGTGGGATCTTACAAATGGTATCAGAGCCAGACACTGAACGATGTGCCAGCGAGGAGGCTGAGCCCCAAAGGGATGGACACGAGACAGTATGCTAATAAGGACGCTGGGCCATGAAGGGAGGTAGATTGGAGCATCCCGCATCCATTGGAGAAGGGAATGAGATCCCACGTTAGTTGAAGAGGAGAAGGAAACATTCTTTATAAAGGTGTGAAAACCTTTGAGGGAAGTTTAAAGAAGATAATATCTGTTAGCGGTAGACTTGTACTAAAAATCTAACCTTTTGTATTCAACGTCGAGAGTCGTGCGCTTGAAGATATTGTAATGTTGGCCCTTTTGAGCCAACGCAGAAAAAGCTTTCTTACTCAAAACAAGATCAGTTCTATTGGTGTGTAGATTCAGATCAGTCAAAATGAGTTTGGTCCCAGATGTGCTGCAAAGTTTCTTGTCTTTGCACCTCATCTGCAGCAGTGTATATCCATAAAATGAGTTGAATCGAATCAAACAATTATATCCAAAGGTATGTGTGTGTGAGATCCCACAGGCTCGTGGGATTGACGTGAGGGGGTGGGGATGGCTATATTTCCGAGCTATTATAAATGATATCAAAACTAGACACCGAGCAATGTGTCAACAAAGAAGCTGAACCCCGAAGGGGGTGGACAGGAGACGGTGTGCCAGCAAGGATGCTGGGCCTCGAAGGAGGTGGATTATGAGATTCCGCATCGATTGGGGAGAAGAACGAAGCCTTTTTTTTTATAAGGGTACGGAAACTTCTCCCTAGTATATGCATTTTAAAAACTTTGAAAGGAAGCACGAAAGAGAAAACTCAAATAAGACAATTCTACTAAAGGTGGGCTTGGGTTGTTACAGTGTCAGAGTGATTTTTGTAATGTTTTATGTCCACGAGTCATACTAGGGTTTGGAATTCGAATTCAACGCCAAATGATCTGAACATTCATATCTATCTCATATGACATGATCACATTACCTACTTATCTTGAATTAACAGCGAAAACTTTTTCCACAAATCCCAAATCATTTTAATATAGTTTCAGAAAACCTATAAACTAATTCAATCTACAAAATTGATAATCCAAATCCCAAATCATTTTAATATAGTTTCACAAATCCCAAATCATTTTAATAAATTGATAATCCAACCCAGCCCTACAAAGTTAACTTGGGTAGATCAAATTCTTCAAGTCACTCAATTTTTTAAACGTCTCTAACGGTCACGGTTCAGAAGTTACATTTTACCTGATAGCATGCGCCACAACGAACGCCCTCCTTGTAAAGGGACGGCACGCCAGCAGCGAGGTGTCCGTCGAGGAAGCCAAGGGCTAAGGAGCCATAGCCACAAGCCCCAGCTGCAAATGATAGCAAATTATTGAAGAAAAGTACTAAAAGAAGAGAAAATCTAAGGTTTTAAGAAGAATTGTACATGAAAGTGTTGAATCATTTGAGATATAGGCAGTCTTGGAGTGGTGGAGACAGCGATCACAGGCAGAAGCTGATGAGGCGAGGAAGAACAAGAGAAGGCAAAGGAATAAGCCCATTTTTGGATGGAGTTTAAGAGGAGAAGCTAATGGGTTTTTATAGAAGAAGAGCCATTGGATAATGTGTTCCCAATGAGGTTTGTTTATGATTTTAAGGTAATGTGTTTCACGTGGAGAGATGGGAGTTTGTTCCCACCGACTCTATGAGCTTCGTGGATGATTCTCATCAATTTTGAGAACAAAAAAACATTGAGAATGTGAAGCATGAGAGTATGAATTTTTATATATATAAATCGAAACCGTTTTGTTGATGCTGAAATCGAGTTAATCGGGCTTATTAGGTCGGGTCGAGTTCAAACGCTCTGCTAAAATAGTTATTTACGAGAGAGATCTCGTGTATTAGTGTGGTGTTGTACTTAACACATTCTGATGTTTAAGTTGATATCGAGTATAAAGTGGTATCGAGTTGAACACAGGTTAAATTACTTAAGTTCAATGAAGAGTAGGTTTTCATATTTACGAGGGTTTGTTGTGTTAGTGAGAGAGATGTCGGATGCCTTAGCCTTGGTTTATTGGCTTGTCTAAGGTATCTTTCTCTTTTGGATCTAGGGTTTAGAGTCTAGGGTTTAGGGTTTAGCTTGATCTTCCAAGGCTTTCGAGGATATGATTCTTCCAAGCTCGATCTTTTTCTTTTGACTGCTTAGCCACTCTCCCCTTCCTGGGCCGAGGCCCGTTTCAATGGGTTCTAAGGAGGGCCGCACCCTGGGTCTCGTTAGGGCAGCTGCTCGTTTAGTATTGCTTTGGCTTCGCCGTCTGTATCTTATAGAATATGGAGATTCTCCCAAGTCGAATTCGACACCTACCTTTTCTCTGTCGAACCTTCTAACACAGAGGACCATGTGGTTATTGGTGCTAACGGTGCTATAAACATTCATTTAAAATATTTTTTAAAAAAAACAACATAGACGTAAATGTTCATAATATAATGTAAGAGTTACAAAATAAACATAAATGCAACTACCTTAACATTGGTTTCATGACCTTCATCTATAAGAGTGTCTGATTCGTTCATATGTCCCTCTTTTGCTCAAGCGACAGACGCCCACGAAGAAAAAAAAGACAAATTCTGTTCTATTGCTAAAACAAACCAAGACACACATTGTCTTCCTTGTTGTGTCACATGGCTTTGCCTCCCCACGTGTCATCGCCTTTAAATTTTTACTGTGTTTTGTTATTTATTTTTCAGACATAGGCAGCTTTCATCAACATATGAAAATTGACGGCTGTGATAAAAACTAGAAACAACTGCCTCCAATAATAATCACCCTTTATTTTATTTTTAAAAAGTGAAAATTTTCTTAATTATGCTCAATTTTTTCACCATTTTTATATCTCTGTAATTATGATCCAAGTACTCTGTTACACATCATCGTAAAACGCATCTGTTAGGAAGAGATTTCCACGTACTTATAAGAAATGTTTCGTTTCTTTCTCCAATTGATATGAGATCTCATATCATTGGTAACGATTTTGATCCAAAAGTAACAGTAAAGGTACTAATTTTTTTTTGAAAGTTTAAGGATAACATGGGTTTGGAAAGAACGACGTGCCAACCATGGGCTTATGATCAAAACGACGTGCCCACCACGGGCTTATGATCAAGATGAGTTGGAAAGAAAAGGAAGAACTTTGAACAAAAATGAAGAAAAAAAATCACAAAAAGATCATATGGGTTTGGAGATGTTAAAATGACAAAACCCATAAATGCATAGCACAAGTAGATTTGGTTTGGTGTCGGAGGGAGGACAAGAAGAACAGCTAAAGACCAATTTGATGTTGGGAATTGTGAAGACACTTCGAGTAAGAGCCCATGGGATTTTGGGGCATAATGCTATACTATGTTACCCATTATAAACCACACAAGTTGTTGCTTGGATAGGCCTTTGTTTGACACAATTGTCTCTAGTACCCTTTTCTTCAATGTCCCTCGTTGCTCGTCTTTTCAAACATTTGGTCAAGAATTTATGTCTTAGCCAGTTAAACTATACTAAAGTTAACGATATATAGAAAGGTGTTGATATCGATACTCTTATAAGAATAGTTGATTGTTAATGAAAGTTGACTTTTATTACTATGAGATCTCACATCGGTTGGAGAGGAAACAAAACATTTCCTATTAGGGTGTGAAAGTCTCTCTCTAATGAACGTGTTTTAAAATCGTTAAGCTAACGACGATACGTAACGGGTCAAGCGAACAATATTTGTTAGCAATGGGCTTGACTATTACAAATGCTATCAAAGCTAGGCACCGAACAATGTGCCAGCGAGGAGGCTAGTCCCAAAGGAAGGTGCATTATGAGATCTCACATTGGTTGGAGAGGGGAACGAAGCATTCCTTATAAGGGTATGGAAGTCTCTCCCAAGTGGGTGCGTTTTAAAATTGTGAGGCTGACGACAATACGTAACGGGCAAAAGCGGACAATATTTGCTAACAGTGGGCTTGAACTGTTTCAAATGGTATCAAAGCCAAACATCAAACAGTGTGCCAGCGATGACCCTAGCCCTCAAGGGGTGTCAACTATGAGATCCCCCACTTTGGTTGGAGAGGGGAACGAAGCATTCCTTATAAGGGTGTAGAAGTCTCTCCCTAATGGGCACGTTTTAAAATCGCAAGACTGACAGCAATACGTAATAGGCCAAAGCAGACAATATCTATAGCTTGAACTGTTTCAAATAGTATCAGAGCCAGGCATTGAGCGGTATGTTAGCGAGGACACTGGCCCTCAAGAGGTGTGCACTGTGAGATCCCACATCGATTGGAGAGGAAAATGAAACATTTCTTATAAGAAAGTAGAAATCTCTCCCCCTATCTTCTTCTACTCTAGTTTACTTACATTACCTCATCGTTCTTGCTAAGTATACATTCCAAGATTCACGAGTCACAACCCGGATTTCTTCCCTAAACGAATCAACAAAAGAAATGCAATTAAATTTCCACTTTTTAGATAGAAAATGAGCTAGAATTGAGCATATAAAAGACATTGTCACTACCCATATTAGAATTGAAATAATTGATCAAGGGTAAGAGTTCATGATCCTCCTAATATCTACTCATCATCTTCCATCTCATGTGGCTACCATTTCTTGTAGTGAATCAAAATCTATGGACCCAACTTTGTCTTCAATCAAAACAAGAACAAAACCAGATGAATTGAACCCAATTTCATGAACAAATTTTAAGAACACCCCACCTTCATTTCTTCTTCCCCCAACATTCACATGGCTATGCACCCATCAATCCACTTTATGTTCATATTTCTATATAAAATTAACACCAAAACCCTTCTCCATTACAACATCCAATAGAGAAAAAAAAACAAAAAAAATGGTAACTCCCCCCAAAACCCTAATTAAAATTGCCCGGAAGTGGCAGAAGGTGGCGGCCGCCGCCGAGCGCCGCCGGAAGATCTCGCTGCCAAGATCAAGAAGCTCCTCCACGGTGGCCGATAAGGGTCATTTTGTGGTCTACACGGTGGATCAAAAACGGTGTGTTTTGCCGTTGAGGTATTTGGGGAGCTATGTTTTGAGGGAGTTGTTGAAGATGTCGGAGGAGGAGTTTGGTCTGCCGGCGGATGGTCCCATAAAGCTGCCGTGTGAGGCGGCGTTTATGGAGTATGCTGTGTATTTGATACGACGACATGTCGACCTTGAAGTGGAACGTGCTCTGGTTTTGTCGGTTGCTCCTGCAGCGAAATTGTCGTGTGGTTCTAGTTTGTTTTGGTCGGCGGCGCCCGCGGCGGAAGATGGCCGGCCGGTGATGATTTAAGGTTTTGAGGTTGTATGGTTTAGATACAATTTTGTAAAGGAATTTGGATTTTGTAGTAATCATGATTATTGACTTAATTAATCTAGTTTATGATTTTTTTTTTAATTTCATCATTATTGTGAGACAATCAAATTACTACAATTTAAATGTCGATGTACACCCAGTACAAAATGGTCAGTTTCGTGAGACATACACTAGAGGTGCATCCTTCCCGATCCTCTTATACGAGGGAAAGGTCTTCTCAATGCTCTAATGCCTACACTGGATATGGACCAAACTATCTCATGACATTCTGAACCCAGCTCACGAATTGCTTTAATGGGCGAATTGTCCAACCCTTGGAACATACTACAGTCCCAGGTGGCGAAGAGTCGACATCGAGGTGTCAAATCTTCTCGTTGATGTGAGTTCTTGGGGAAGATCAGTCTGTTATCCCTAGAATAACTTTTATCCATTGAGCGACGTCCCTTCTACTTGGCACTGTCGGATCGCTAAGGTTGACTTTTGTCCTTGCTCGATGAGTGGGTCTTGTAGTCAAGCTCCCTTATGCCTTTGCACTTGAAGGTCAATCTCTGTCTAGCCCGAGGAAACCTTTGCACACCTCTGTTACCTTTTGGGAGATCAACACCCCATAGAAACTATCTACATAAGACTCTCCCTTGGCTCGTAGGTCCTGACACACCTAGCTCTTCCAAACTAGTATCTCACTAATGGTTGGGCTCTTAGGGAAGATCAGTCCGTTATCCCTAGAATAACTTTTATCCATTGAGCGATATCCCTTTCACTCAGCACTGTCGGATCACTAAGACTGACTTTTGTCCCTACTCGATGAGTGGGTCTTGCAGTCAATCTCCCTTATGCCTTTGCACTTGAGGGTCAATCTCCATCTGGCCCGAGAGACCTTTGCACGCCTACGTTACCTTTTGGGAGCCCTACGCCCCATAGAAACTATCTACCTGAGACTATCCCTTGGTCCATAGGTCCTAACACAAGATTAGAATTCTAGCTCTTCCCAAGTGGATATTTCACTGATGGCTCTAGCCCTCCGGAAGGGAGCCTTCTTGACCCTCCACCTAAGCTACACAAGAAAGGTCACAAACTAACTCGAATTTATGTCACTTCTGACTGTGTGTACATGTGAATGTTTGCTGAATCCACCACACCTAAATGGTGTGAAAGTTATCTTATTTATAATCAAATAAATTACAAGGATATGGAAATAGTAATAAATGGAAATAACAATAAATGGAAAGATACTAT